TGATTTCAGATAATCTTGTGGATACTCTAGAGACTAAAGTTAATATTCAATTGACTTTAAATTTATACACAGTGTTTAAGGCCATGAGACAAAGAAGCCTATTGATTTTAAATGATTTCCAATAATTACTGCAGAGTAATGGCCCTTGATCACTTTGAAATATGTTGTGGATGCTATAAAGGTTAAAGTTAATATCCAATTGACACAAAACCTTATTTTAATTCAAGATCTTTACGATAAAAAAGTATATCTAAAATTTCATCCAAATTGGATAAAAACTTGGCCCCTAGAGGGTCCACAACCTTGATATACCATATTTTTACACTATTTGTGTACAAGGGGCAGCCATTTATGTCCGTCAGTTTTAGTCTGATTTTCAAGGATAAAAATTGTGACCTCTATGGGGACCACAAGCTCAAAACGCGATTTTTAATACAATCAAGGGCTATAATTCAGGAACTTACGATTCAATATGCACGAATATCGAAAGGAACCAAGATCTTTGGGTTATAAACATGCCAGGGGGGCCATTTTGTCCAGCAGTTTTGGTCCGATTTTCAAGGATAAAAATTGTGACCTCTATGAGGACCACAAGCTCAAAACGTGATTTTTAATACAATCAAGGGCTATAATTCAGGAACTTACGATTCAATATGCACGAATATCGAAAGGAACCTAGATCTTTGGGTTATAAACATGCCAGGGGCGGCCATTTTGTCCAGCAGTTTTTCCGATTTTCATTAAATTTGAACTCAACCATCACTACGGTGTAACGGTGATATACTAAAAGGTTTTATTAAATCGCATAAAAATTGTGACCTCTAGAGAAACCACAATCTAAAAGCGTGATTTTTCTTACAATCAAGGGCGATAATTCAGGAAGTTACAATCCAATATGCGCTAATATCGAAAGTAACCAAGATCTTTGGGATATAAATATGCTTTTCAAGTTTCATCAAAATCGGATGAAAATTGTGACCTCTAGAGGGTCCACAACCTTAATATACAATATCTTTACACTATTTGCGTACAAGGGGCGACCATTTTGTCTGACAGTTTTGGTCTGATTTTCACGAAATTCGAACTCAACAATAATTAGTGTGTAATGGTGATATATATTCAAAAAGTATTTTAAATCGGATAATAATTGTGACCTCTAGAGAGACCACAAGCTAAAAACGCAATTTTTCTTACAATCAGGGGCCATAATTCTGGAAGTTACGATTCGATATGCGCAAATATCAACAGGCACCAAGATCTTTAGGTTATAAACATGCATTTCAAGTTTCATCAAAATCAGTGTCCACAGGCTAAAAACGTGATTCTTCGTACAATCAGGGGTCATAATCCACGAAGTTATGGTCCCATTTATACCAATATCGAAAGGAATCGAGATCATTGTGAGATAGACCTATATTTTAAGTTTCATCAAAATTGAAAAAAATTGTGACCTGTGGGCATATAAAAGTGAAACATGGAATGAAAATAAACACACGAATGTCTGGATGTGACCTACCCATAATTTCCTGGATGAAAACCAGATTGTTCGATTTTAAAAGCTGTTCATCGTTACACCCCAATGATGTTTGAGTTCAAATTTCGTGAAAATCGAATCGAAACTGCTTGACAAATTTTGTAAAATTAAGTAATACCAAGGTTGTGGTCCCTCTAGAGGTAACAATTTTTATCTGATTTTCATGCAAGTTAAAATATATGTTTATATCCCAAAAATCTTGATTCCTTTCAATATTTGCGCATATCGGTTCTAACTTCCTGGATTATGGCATCCGATTGTACAAGAAATCACATTTTTAGCTTGTGGATCCTCTCTGGAGATCACAATTTTTATCCACGTTACATGTATATCCGAAAGATCTTGGTTCCTGTCAATATTTCAGACCGTAATTAGCTTGTTCTCTGTCCATCTCTTGCAAAATGTGGGCGTATCTTATATAGCAACCGCTTGTTTTCAAACATATTTCATATTCACACTACCCAGTATATATCAATTAAAAAATAGATTGTTTTGGGGTGACCTTTCCCCTGTATTTAAATAATCAGTAAATGCTCATATTTTTGCACCAACATAGACATTCTGATTAAAATACAGATCTATATTTTGTTTTGTTTTTTTATACTTTTGATGGTCTACACTACATAAGAATCTGACCGGTTGTAGTGATAGGTTGCGTCAGAGGTCATACGGCCTGCTTTTGACCCTATGACATCAGACATTTGATTAACCAATCAGCATTGATGTTACTAGTGGATTACACTCAGTTCCGTGCAAAACATGCCTAAAGCTTGCCGTAACAGACCGTTTCATTGGCTAATTCCTCACACCATTCAGAACACGTCTATGATAACAACCCTTCCAGATCCTAGTGTAGTAAAGACAAGTAAAAGTAAATTTTGAACTATAAAAAACGAAACGAAATAGGATCTGTGTTTTAATCAGATTGCAACATAGATATTTTTAGATCAAATTTTCTTTAATGATATTTCAATAAGTTTGTAAATAGTATTGTTGTCACATATTATATACATGTACGATAGCTTAATAATTAATAGGCCGTTAGTATTTCGATATTGAACGCTTTCTATGAAAATTAATATTCATAGGTGAATTTAAAGTGTATACAATTTGTTTATATCTTTGTAAAGTTGTGTATCTTTGTATAATTATGTACATGTATGTATCCTTTGTTTGTTTCATGTATACTTATATTATCTTTATTTGTATATCACATAACCTTGTAAAGTTTTTTATTCAATAAAGTTATTAGGCTTGTTATTACTAAGATTATTGTTCTTATTTTTTTTTTATTGGGGGAAGCTAGATCTCAGCAACTATAAGAGATAGAGGTCTGAAGTTTGGTTTTCTCTCGTGAAAATGGGTGGTGGTTTGTGCTTAAATATAAAACGAAATTTGTGCGCATAGCGGAATTGTGTTAAATCTTTAATGTGCACGAAAATTGAAAATCGGCCATCACTCTGTTAATTCTCGAATTTTGGAACTTTGTCGATCTCATTTTTTTGGTGAAAATTTACAAAATTTTGGTAAAATTTTTATTTCTTGGAAGTTTTAAATTCTGATTACATTTTTGGATAGATGACGTCAATCCGATTCCAGCAATATAAGTTTCTTTCTGAAATGATAACTTTGAATTTTAACTTTTTTTGCATTTTAGTCAAACATAGAGATCGTACCATTTTAAACGGCTCCAACGATTTTTCTGAAACTTCAGGAATATGAAGTTGAAGGACCAATCTAATGTTTAAAGTAAAAATGGAAATTCTCTAATCACTGGAAGTGGTCAAGAAATGACCCAAACTTATACAAAATGCTGAAAAATGTGTGTACGTGCGGAAAACGCGATGTATCAATTGTTTTTTTACCGAGTAGTTAAATTTTTATATCGTTTTATAGCCAAATGAATTGTCTGTTTCTCGAAAAGTCCACCTATTTTTTTTTTTTTTTAACTTTTAACTGTTTTGTGTTTGTGGAAGTTTTGTGGTGAATAACACCAAAGACCAAAAACACTGTATCAAAATTATTCTAAGTCGAAAATCTTGTGGAATGTGGTACCACACAGGTATATAGGGGGTCTGATAAGAAATTTTTGAAAAAAGTGATATTTTTTCTATGTCCAATTTTTTGTGGAACTCTTGTGGTGAAAAACCCAGCTCAGATCCAAACAAAGCACTATATGAAAATTATTCTAAGTGGAAAATTTTGTGAATTTGGTACCACACAGGCATATTGGGGGTCTGAGAAGAAATATTTGAAAGAAAAAAATATATTGTGGAACTCTTGTGGTGAAAAACACCACAGAATAATATTTCGTAGAATATATTTTCCCCACATCTTACAAGATGATAGGATAAACTATTATTGTTCCAGCGAAATAAAAAGAAAATGTTTCATAAATTTTTCATGGTCCATCTTTCCAAGCACCCCCCAAACCTTGCCATGTCTATGTACAATCTAAATATAGAATATGACTCTATACAACACACTATTTGAATCAGATAATTAGGCTACAAGGTATTGTCATGGACAAGTTGATGACAGGATTCTCTTCAACATATCTTTATTATCTGTGGGGCCACATTCCTAATTTTAAGAAATCTGACTAATTTCTACCTAGACCTAGGATTGTATCATAACTCTAATTTGATATTTAGAAGCAGGCCACTAATAAATTTCATCATCAATTTGCAGTTTGTCTATTTATAACTATCCCCTTGCTCTCCCTTTTTTCCCATTTTGCATGGTTATTTTTGTTGACTTTTGGGTCTAGAATTGACGAAGAGGGTTTGTATTAACATTTTCTGCCCAAATCAAAACAATCCAAGATCTTTGTGATATAAATAAATATACCTGATCATATGTTAAATATGGGTATATAAAAATGTTCATATATTATTATTTCAGGTTTCTACAAAATGGATATTGATGTAGCTTTTATCTCTATTATGATTATCATCATCATCATCGAGATTGAGATCACACTCGTGTTTGGAAACCCTCAAGTATTATTACATGATTCTGCTCTAATAAACAAACGGTCACAAGATGCTACTTTATCAGAATTATTACCGAATCCTACACATCAATTTGACCAAATTAATTACTGTAATCTGCGAAATACATTCCGTTTAGATGACGTGATTGCTCACAATACTCAAGAACAGAGTATCCGCCAAATTCACTTCCACAATTTAGATGAGGAGAATGATCACAATTCTCAAGAACAAAGTATCGCACGCTTCAATACCACTGCAGTACTTCCTACATCACCTACACCACGATATAAACAATTTGGATTAAAAATTTATAAATTAGAAACTGTGATGAAGTCACTTACAAAAAATCTTTACAAAGGAATTATTTCTGTTAAAGATATTAACAAATATATTAAATCAAATCCTGTCGAATCATTTATATATTTAGTCTCTGATGAATGTCTTCCCATGATTCACGTCACACTTTTATGTATGTTTACGGATGGTAGAAAGCTCCTCTATTTTGACAGCCATGGCAGATGTCCACCGGAAATAAAAGATCATGTCGACTGGAACAGTGTTCAGGTCCAAGGTAATTTTAATAACACATGTGCGTTACATTGTATATTTGTGGCCAATAAATTAGGGGAAGGCAAATCGTTAAGAGATATATTTCTGGAGCCTGAATATTCATCTGGAAGCTGCGACCATATAGATGATAATATTATCAAATACTATGAAGCCCTTGTTAAAAAGTATAGGTATGTATTAAATTTTAATTGTCTTGTATTTATTTAAGGGGGTCACCATGGCTCAGTGAGTAAGACGCTGGCTCAATCCCTGCGTTGGTCAAGAAAGTTCATAGGGATTTTCTGGCATGGTTCCTCTTTGTCAGTGGTGCAGGAACGAGGGCCTGCTAAGGGACAACATATATACTCTTCCCAAAAAAGTAGGGGACATTCAGAAACAATACAAAACTGTGGAAATGCACTGCTGTTTTTATTAGAGGTAACCAGTGTATGTTAATAACAGGCCAATTGCCTACACATGAACATAAACAGTTCATATGGGCGGCTTATCTGACGGGCCCATTTCACTTGCAAAGAGATACACCGTCAAAAGTGAAAATGGACGTTTTTGATTTTTGTCTTAAAAATGAGTAATTGTTCCACCAATCCTCAGACATTCAGCAATTTGTGGTGGCATGATCCAAATCAACCGTCCAATCACGATTTGGGGCAATCTGACCCATTCCTCTAGCAGTGACACAGCCAATTCTTGCAGTGTTGTCGGTTAACGTTGACGTTGACGAACATGTCTCCCGATCAAATTAAACGTAACACACTAAAGCAAAGATACGTTAAACAGTAAATCTTATGCAAGAACCGATAGGAAATAAAACATGAATAGGATAAACCAGCACGCGGTAGTTTTCATCAACCCTTCCTTGAAGTGTCAAATTTGACAATGAACCCCTCCCATGTGTTTGGCACTATTGCGTGTCGCATGTGCAGCTCAGTGGTTTTGTTGGGGCGATAAGTTCTTCATCTGTGAACATACTCTCAAAGCATGTCAAATGTCCATGACTATTTATCACATCGCAACCGGCATAGGTATTTGCATTTCAATATCCCCTACTTTTTTTGAAGAGTATAGTTATTCGGATGTACACATTGGTGTACATGTAATAGATCCGTTGGCAGTTGGAATGTGACACGAGTAGGAACACTGTATGGTGCACTTAAACCCCATTTCATTTCATATTTGTTTAAACTGGCAGCCATGTTGGTTTTGCATAAAAGAGTTCATATAAGTTAAACTTAATCTGGTTTATAGCAGTGGCATCCTACAATAATATTAATCAACTTTATAAAGCATTCCACTTTCAACCATGTTCCTGAACCAATGACTGCGAGCTTTACAACATCTGGATGTTACTAGATTACTTTACAATTTCCGAACTTATCGCTACATTATCTGCACTTGAACAGTAGCGTCCAAACAGAGGTTGTGACATCGCGACCTCCACGAAAACCTTGACATTGAACGAACCTTAAACTTTGCAACAGATAGCTTGAAAGCACGAGATTTGGTATTCGTGACGATTGAGGAATCTGATTGGCTCACAAGCTGGGTGAATACCAAATCGAAACTAGTGCTGAAATATGCAGGGTATTACGTGAAGGGCTTGATAAGATGTACGTAGTTAAAGCGAGATCAAGCCTTCTATTGAAGATGACTTTCAACATAACCTATATTTTCAGGAAGTTATATTCTTAAGTATTTTCTTTGTTTTCGTATCATTTACACTGTACACATACAATTGTAAGATTATATGGATTAAAATATTGTTTAAACTTTTTATCACCAAATTTTAACACAACTTATATTTCATTACAGACTTTAAAAGGTACTTAGAGCTTGATGGTAGAAGAAATAACCTGATTTTCTTTGGAGCAGAAGAAGAAAGTGACAACAAAGATAAGTTTATTGTCTGAATTTGATTTCTCCTATAACAAGCAGAAAAAAAATGACGAATTCAAAAATATTGCTAGCAATTACACATGTTTTGAGAATCCCAGAACTGATATCATTTTTAGCAAACCTTTCAGGAGGTGTTGTGGTGCTTGTGAAAAAATCCATCTGCACAATGCTTAATTTAATATGAATTATTAAGATATGCTGAAAAGGTGTTATATCATCAATGTATCGGAAGGTATAGTTTAGACTTTAAGCTACTTTGTGATCAGTCAGCTTTAAACTGGATGATAAAACTTGGGCACAGGTGGCGGTTATAATATTTGTCATGGCACATGTCATAAAAAAAAACTCTTTGGCCAGGCGGTAAGAAAAGGGAAAAGACAAGCCGAAAAAAACAATAATAGCTGCCAATCCTAAAGAAGACAATGAAATGAAAGAGAAAGACAGAAAATATGAAGGAAGAAAAAATTGGTACCTCTCCCTACAGTTGGCTTCAACGATAGTTTCCACTCGCGTGTGTGAACGTTAGAATAGTTTGTATTATATATGTGATCCCAATACCTGAACAATAGAATAGTTTGTATTATATATGTGATCCCAATACCTGAACAATAGAATAGTTTGTATTGTATATGAGATCCCAATACCTCGCGTGTGTGAACAATAGAATAGTTTGTGTAACGGTAGTCGTGCGATAGACGAAGTGTTCCGATTGCTAACTTTGTCTACTGGCTGTTTGTCGGCTAATTTCCTATTAAAGGGAGAATTAATTGATGTTGTTTGTTGTTTCTCTTTAATTTTGCCTTTACGTCTTAAGCTTGTATAATCTCATAGTTTATATATTATTAGTTTGAGTATTAAATATGTAGATATTTATTCAGGGAATCAAATTATGATTATAGGCATTTAGTTAAGTTTATTATGTTTACCTAATAAGCTTCCCTCAAAATACGTGGTCTTTCGTAGATCATCATGGCAGCCAAATGCATGAAATCGGGAAAGGGGTGAAGTCAAAAAGGTTATTACGTTTTATAAACACATAATTTATATATTTATAGTATGCTAATATGTTTATTGTATGTTTAAGTACATGTCAGTATTATTGTGTGCTTTGCCAGGCAATGTTTTAGTCATATTAAGTCAGGTTTATAATTCGTGGAGACAGCGCTGTCGTCCGCTGTCGTCTGTCAGTGTCATCGTCCTTGGCCTTTGAACAGGGCTACGTATTGTTTACGTTGTGTTCATTGTCGTCATTAAAGTTAGTCAATCAGTACTGATGGTAATCCGATGTATTTTTCTTATTTCAGTTTTCACGTAATGTTTAGTGAAATCTTCAGAATGTACATGTAATATTCAGTGAAAGCTTCAGAATATAATATTCAGCATGTAATCAAGTATTATTCAGCATCGTCAGTAATGAGTAATATTCAGCCATGGTGTCTTCAGTATAATATGTAGCACGTTGATTATAATCAGAATTAAAAGAGGAATTCATCCGTATTCGAATTCTCTCATTAGGCTATGTAGGCCCATGCGTATGCGACCTGATTTGTGTAAGCTGATGTGTGAACTGTTTATATTTGTAGCTGTTATTTAATATATAAAGTTTATTACATTGAAGAACTACACGTCGTTGTTTATATTTCGCTAAATGTTTCAGTGTAGAAAGCATTGACTTCAGAGTATTCGTCCGGAGAGCATCATTCCTCTGTCAATATTATTTGGCTGCTTCAGCGATAGAGGCATGCTGTTACAGTTTGTATTATATATATGTCATCCCGATACCTCGCTTGAGGTTGTCAAGCCAAGCTAGGACCATGGATCCCTCAACACAAGCTAAATTACAGTGTCTTAAGTTTTGTACATGATATGTTTAACCCGTTAACTGTGTAGTTTTTAAAACGTTAACTACCCCCTATTGTGTAATTAATTTGACGAAAAACGTCTTTTTTGGACCTTTTTATTCCTGAATACAAACTAGAGTAGTCTAAAACCATATTAAAACTAACGGTAAATAGAATCGTCTCATTTCAATTAGATTTCCTCGACCAGACGTAATATAACGTCCTACACACGCTGCGATCATATGTTTGAAGAATAGGTTGGGGAAAATACCTCCAGGGCGTTATATTACGTCCTACACATGGTGAGTGGCAGTTGTCCAGGACGTTATATAATGCCCTATGCAGTTAACGGGTTAAAGAAGAATAAAGTATTATATGGTGTTGTCATCAAGAACCTGATTTAAGGCAACACAAATAAAATAAATTGTTTCTCGGGCACCGCCCGCACGCAAAATTGGTTGCGCGTGCGGCCTATTTATTAGTCTTGATGAAAAATAAAAAATATGTAACGCCCGCCCGAACATCGATAAGCAAGTCATAAAAAAAATATGCCGCATGTATCTACATGCCCCATTCGTGAATATCCATTCAAATGTATTAAACTGATTCAGAATCTCCATTTTTGTATCACGTGATTTTAATTACCTCCCCTTGTGAACTAGAATTTGATTCGTGTTAAACACCGAAAGTCATTGACAACAATGCAATGTATTTCAATCATTCGATCTTAATCGGCTCATTATTGCCGGCTTCAGTCGGTCCATGTTTGAAAAAATCCTACTTATAAAACAATGAATCGTAGAACAGGTTAATTATTATAACTTGTGGCTACGAATACGATACGATGATAGTCACCATACCTTAGTCAAAATCTGGGTCATTAGCACGTTTAACGGTAGTTTTGATAATCCGGAAAATAATAATTGGATTACACATTTGATGGTTTTACTGACGAGTTGTTAGTTAAATTTAAATAGTCATTCGATATAAACCCCAGATAGAACACCGAATATGCTGAGAAACACACCAAATATCCTGAGAAACAGTCATTTCACGAATCCCGATGACACGTGACATGCATTGGTTGGAATTAGGTCAATCATTATAAACCAGCGATGCTAGATTTAGATCGAAGTGTCGTTTCCCGTGATGATTATTTTTGATACACATGCTGACAGAGGCTTACTCTTTAAAATATTGTCGTTATTATGGACGGCTATTAATAGTCGTACGGAATTTTATTTTAAACCAATTTCAATTATGGTTGTCACCATTACCATTAGTAAGCTACATTACGTGAATTAAATATGGAAAATTATTTTCCTTTCAGTCAGTGTTCAGTGTTTGAGTAGACTTGATTTTTGGATTTATGTTCTAAGTATGTATAATATATAACTGAAAGCAAAACCGTAGACAAGTAATGACTTTCTCATTAAAAAAAAAAAAAAAAAATACAAGGCCGCCCTCCCGCCCCAACAATTTTCAACAATAGGCAAATTTTATTTTGCACCATCCTCTAGCCAGAAATGAGATAAAAAAAAAATAAACCGCCCTCCCCCCCTACAGTTTCAGCTGTCAGTTGCCCGAGAAACAAGACATTTATTTTGTGTAGCCTAAAGACTCAAAAGTGTAATATTTTTTACCAATTCAAACTGGTGCAGAACAGTAGGACTTCAAAACCTATTTCATTTTTATACGTCCATATTTCACTATCTGTCGATCCACCAACAGTTGGTTTGTGAACACTATAAAGGGTACAGATTTTATCGAATTCATGTCCAATTTGGTGTGAAGCATTGAGGTCATCAGATAACACTATCGATATTCCAAAGGCTTTGTCAGGCCCGAAGCTATCGGGGGAGAGGGGGTACAAGAGGGACATGATAGTCGTTGGTTTCGTATTGAGTCCAATGGAAAGGGCTAACCAATTCTTTCCCAATGGGGTAAAGGCCCCCACTAGCTACAGGCCTGTTTGTGTAGTGCTTTCCTGCACAGTAGTACATTCCTACCATATTTTCTAATTGGATTTCCTCCTATACTGACACATGGGAACCACTTAATCACCAAAATAAGTGTGAAAAGGACTCTGCTACCTCCAAAACGTGAAATCCTAATGTAAATTCAAATTTTACGAACCAAACTGGCCGTCATCTTGAATGTATCCTACACCCCCCAAAACTGACTCAGAACTTAAATCATGACAATGGAATAAGAAATCAGAATAGATATTCTTTGTCAATACAACACCCACTCAAATGTGACAAGGAGTAGGGTCGTCTGTCCAACCTCGTGGGTTTTCTCCAGGTCCTCTGGTTTTCTCTCACTGCTACCCAAGCGAATTATTGAAATGAAATTGTACCATATGTTAGTCCCGAAATGACCTAGTTTACTTCTCTCTATCTCTTCAACACAACATAGATTTTTATCAGTGACATCACCATGCTTGTGTTGATCATCCTAAACACGCAGAAATTTCTGCGGGCCTCTCCTTAAAGGGAAGAATACAGGTAAATTTCACAATTTATTCTTACCTGTATATTCGGTCCGACAGCTACAACTGGCGTCTGGTCGTTTAACGGTAGAATTAAAACTGACAGTACTTGTCTCGGGAGTAAATTACGACTCAGATCAGTCACGTTAAAATATATCAACTCTGTTAACGGTTTATTCCCAATCTCTGAATCAGCCATATAACTGTAAAAATAAAGAAATTCACAGTAATCATTTAAGTTAAAGACAATTGGTGACCCGTACTGGCAAAATGAGTTGCAATGAGGATATTTTGAAAATTGAGTTATTGTTATTTTCACATTTTCCATCTCAATACCTTGAAAATGGTGTATTGTATGTTTGAATCGGGCAAAAATTGACTAAGCTATATCCGTTTGAAGCTGCTCAAGTCAGAAAAGTAAGTTTTGAGAAAAAGCAAGTTAAGGATGTTATGTTGCAAAACAAAATCACATAGCAACCATTCCAGAATAGCGCCTTAGTGGTCAAGAGATTAAGATTGTTGATTAGGTAATCAAGCTTAGTTTCTTGATCATCAAATAAGCCGCCACAGCTGTATGAGTGTTCTGTTAACTTCGCCACACGACTGAATTAAAATAAGGTTTTGGGTGTAGAATAGAATAGACTATTGTTATTTTCAAGGATTGACTAGTCATCCGGCTACAAGGGCAGAAAAATAACAAATTTCGCTGAGAATTTTAAGAAAAAAGAAATATTTACGAATATGGTAGCCTATTCTTAAATAATGTCCAAATTGAAGGTGTTTTAAAATGTTTTATTGCTATTTTGATCTTTTGAGTCGATAGATAGCATATTTTAAGGATTGACCATTCGTCCGGCTACGAGCGGAGAAATAGAACTAATTTCGCTGAGAATTTTAAGAATAAAGAAAGATTTATGAATAGGGTACTCTTAAAAAATGAAATGAGGTTCTACGTCCTATTTTTATGCACCAACAAGTCTAATAAAGACGGGCATTATGCCATGCAGTCTGTCTAGATTAGATATGACTGTTGGGTTTACAACTGTTAAGTTTTCTGTTCTGTGTTCATTACTCAACACCACATGGATGAGAGAGAGAGAGGGGGGGGGGGTTTAACGTCCACTCGACACAAACTATGTCATTTCGAGACTAACATATGGTTTAATTTTATTTCAATAATTCGCTTGCGCGTAGGGGTCTTTAGCAGTGGGGGGAGGAAACCAGAGTACCCGGAAAAACCCATGAGGCTGGACAGGCGACCCTGCTCATTGTCACCTACAACCGGGGAATTGAAACCCCGCCAGTTTACTCAATGACAGACTTTATGATACAGCGTGCACACGCTAACCATTCAGCCATCCAAACCCCACCACCCCGCACTTGGAGGAGTAAACAGTTGTAAATTTTATGGCCAGAAATGTAATTTTTATTGTTCCATTTTAATTATAATACTATTTTTGATTTTTTGTCTTATCAACATAATCTACGTTCTTCATTTTTTTTTCGATTAGCCACCATGCAATAGTAACTTTGGCATTCATTTTGGTCTTGTTAGTCAGTTTATTATTTTTTGTCAGATATATGTCAGCAGATAGTATTGTCATTGTTAGTCAGAGAGTATATTGGGGCATAAAACATGGTATATTTGTTTGATAGTGTATGTCATTTAGGCTTGTCAATGGCATTTATGTTGTATTATGTCATGGTATTACCAGGTTATAGTAGTTATATGTTATAATTTAAATCTTTATATGTAGTTATATGTTATAAATATTTAAGATAATACATTATTAATTTTTAAAGTAAAAGTCTTCAACTTTGGGGACAATATCTTTAAAACATTAATTGTGTGTGTGTGCTATTAAAAGGTGACTAGCCAATGATGAAATGTTACGTAAAGCTAATGACATGTTAATTTATTATAATCCCTTTATAGATAGAAAGTAACTGCCCAAATGGCATATCTCGCGAAGATGCCAATAAAATCTATTAATTGTTTTGTTTCTTATATTGTTAATTGTTACATCAATGCTAGTTTACACTGTAACCCAGGTATCGTTTAATCTTGTGTATCTAGCACTAATTTTTTTCACATTCGTTTAATATCAAATCTTTGTTTAAAAATTTGTAAAAACTGTTTAAAATCACCATAAATCATTTAATTTGTACTTCTGTCCAGTTTAAAGCTGACCATTCAATTTTGATAATGAGTGTCCAATTTACAAGTGTCAATCATTGTTAAAAAATAAACAACCCAATTGATTAATGATGTATAATGATTCATTTTTGAACAGTGATCAGAAAATTAAATACTTATAAATTGGACACTCATTATCAAAATTAATCAGTCAGCTTTAAACTGGACACATGTACAAATTAGATGATTTTGGGTGATTTTAAACGATTTTTACGAATTTTTAAACAAAGATTTGATATTAAACGAATGTGAAAGAAATTAGTGCTAAATACACAAGATTAAATGATACCTGGGTTACAGTGTTATGTCAACACTTGATCTAGTCAAGTGATTAAAAGTTCTTCCATATAAATATGTGATTGTACTTAATTAAACCACAGTAATTTTTACGAATTTTTAAACAAAGATTTGATATTATAAATATGTGATTGTACTTAATTAAACCACAGTAATTTTACGAATTTTTAAACAAAGATTTGATATTATAAATATGTGATTGTACTTAATTAAACGACAGTAATTTTTACGAATTTTTAAACAAAGATTTGATATTACGAATCAAGGTAATTTTTGCCTGCTTAGTTTTTTAAATGATTATTTTGTTATTTGTGAATCGGCCTTCACTAATTACTTCCACACTGTGTTGTAGGATATGTTTTTATTTTTTTCCATTATAAAATAGCACCCAAAACTATTGGGCACACGACTTGTGTACTGATTATAAAATGTTTATTATTTATGTCTTAAATATTTGATATTAGGATCCTATAGCTGCATGGTAAGATAACATCAAAATTGATTGAAATCGATCAATATTGAATTTTAATTTGTGGTTTTAATTTCAAATATTATGGAAAATATTGAGTTACAGACTTAGCTTTTTTAATCGTTAGACCAACACTCAACAACATGACATACCAATGTCAGATATGTAAATAGAATATTGTCAGATGATATTATCATCATATTTATTTTTGTATTAATGTTTGATTAAATAAATGAAATGAAATGAAATGAAATGAAATGAAATGAAATGAAATGGGGTTTAACGTCCTACTGTTCTGCTCCGAAGACGAGCATACGCCATACAGTGTGCTATGAGGGAAATTTAGCACCAGACAGCGGCACTACGGCCTACTCTTATATCGAATTCCAACTGTCAAGGGATCTTGTACATGCACGCCAATGTGTACACCGGACCTCGGTTTTCTCGTCCCATTCGAACGACTAGACAGCTTTCCTTGTCAGCCCCTCCGTCCTGCATCACTGTTTGATTAAAGGAAACTTATATTCATATTACATCTTTATCTGTTTGTCAACGCATTTGTGATGCAGTATTCCTAGTGGCAGTTTACTCCCTACAGCAAACCCTTGAACTTTTCGTGCCATCCGAAGGACTAGACATCACTGACAAGGGGGAACCACAATGCAGGGATCGAACACACGACCTCCAGGCTAGCGAGCCAGCGTCATACCCACTTAATCATGCCCGCCCCCTACAGCAAACCCATATGGACCATTTTAATATATGCGACTGTAGAAACCCAATATTTGAATAATTTGCCAACTATGGTTTGAAACTAAACATTAAATACAGAAACTGTTAAAACAGCTCAATTAAACGATACCCAAGTTGTAGTGAATGTTCCCTGACACTTATATCAAAATGAATCGTAAGACAGTGGAAACCGAGCATAATCTAGATGGACTATTATAAACTATGGGACAGTAGAAAACCAACATTTAAACAATTTGCCAACACTGGTTTAAAACTGACACTTACCGAACATAACCTTGATTGATGTCATCTTGTGTAAAGAAACTCCCCGATCTGATTCCTTCACCTTCTGGTCCAACCAACAACTTGCCATAAAATGGTTCACTGCTCAGAATAACCGTCAGATCAGAGTCCTGATCGTCAGAATCACCAAACGCTAACAGGTCACGCGTAATGGTTACAGTCTGGCCTACAAATAGAATCACAGTTAACAAATTATTTAATTGGTCACACTTGACACAAACTAGGTCATCTTGAGACTAACATATGGTACAATTTTATTTCAATGATTTGCTTGCACGTGGAAGGAAACCAGAGAAAACCTACGCAGTTAGGCAGGCTACCCTACTCCTTATCACATAAACAGGATTTGCAGGAGGAAACTGGAGAAAACCCACGCAGTTAGGCAGGCGGCCCTACTCCTTGTCACATACATATACAAGCTTGCGATCTAAATCCCGCCACTTGATTTAATGACAGACCGTATGATATAAAACAAGGGCAGTAGACAGTTTGACCACTTGATTGGATTCATTCTAGCCAAGAATCCAAACGTCTTACCGCAATTCCAGAAGGTTCAAGAATAACCTCTAGATTAAAGTTACAATTTCATATTTTTAAAATTAATTAAAAGGACCTGGGCGTCACTGATTCCCGATGAAGTAACATGTGTGGGGTTTATGGTTTAAAGTTACAATTTCATATTTTCAAGTTATATTTTTAAAATTAATTAAAATAAGCCTTAAAATAGATGGCATCCATAAACAGTCCTAATAATCCTATTAATCCTATAATTCACTATTGCCAGTTGAGAAATTGGCAAAAATATCATTTTCATCTTCAAATTCCAACGTTTGAAGATAACTACTCCATGGTGGAGAATAGAAAACAAGGGAGGTAATTGGGAGTTAATTGTGTTATTATTTCCGGTGTAAATGAGTTTTAAGTTTGAGAATGACACCTATTGAGCAAAAGACATAGAAATAATTATGTTTTGACTTTCTTAGAAAATATGAAATTATTAACTAATGAGCACCCGTTCGACCATTAGACCACCTGCCCCCCCCCCCCTCTTTCACAGTCATACAATAAAGAGAGAGAGAGAAATGGGGTTTAACGTCCACTCAACACAAACTAGGTCATTTCGGGACTAACATATGGTTCAACTTTATTTCATTAATTCGCTTGCGCGTAGGGTTCTTTAGCAGTGGGAGGAAACCGGAGGACCCGGAGAAAACCCACGAGGTTGGACAGACGACCCTACTCCTTGTCACGTACAACCGGGGTTTCGAAACCACGCCAGTCAACTCAATGACAGACTTTATGATACAGCACGCGCGCACGCTAACCATTCAGCCATCCAACCCCCCGTCATACAATAAGAAAAACTTCACATATTCATACCTTCAGTAACATTTACATGACAGGTTGCCGTTGGTAACATAAATGGTGCTGACTTGTCGACCTTCAAAATGTTGACCTTGACCTTAGAGGTGACCTGATGAACTCCATCACTAACGGCAATATGAAACATGTCTGTTAAAGGTATGCTATCCCCATGGTGAACATACTGAAACACACTGGTCTGTACGTCTTTATAGTGAAATCTGTCTCCTAAAAAAACAAATAATAACCAATCCAATCAATTGATGAAAGATATTTTTGACTTAATTGATTAATTTCTAATTTCGCAAATGATAATTGATGACATCTTCTACTGGGGGCTTATCTGGGGCCTGTTTCACGAAATTTTAACTAAGATAAAATTCAAATTTTAGTAATTTGATGGGATAATATTAGATTGATTTTAGTGCTTAGCCAATCAAAATAGAAGTGTATCTATTAAAATTTTGATTTTATCTTTAGTTATGATTTCGGGAAACAGGGCCCTGTAAATGTGATCACCTCGAGAGCTGAATGACACTGATCCAGTGGACTAAAAGGTTTAAAACTGGTGATGGTATCCAGTGATATGTGATTGCCTTTCATGAGACATAACAGCCACGCAGGGCATTGAAATCTGACAGCCACAGGGTAGACACACCGGTACTAACACTGTAATCCAGGTATGATTTAATCTTGTGTATCTAGTACTAATTTCTTTCACATTCGTTTAATATCAAGTCTTTGTTTAAAAATTTGAAAAAACTGTTTAAAATCATCATAAATCGTTTAATTGGTACTTGTGTCCAGTTTAAAGCTGACCATTCAATTTTGATAATGAGTGTCCAATTTACAAGCGTTTAATTTCTCAATCATTGTTAAAAAAATAAACAACCCAATTGATTAATGATGTATAATGATTAATTTTTGAACAGTGATCAGGAAATTAAATACTTGTAAATTGGACACTCATTATCAAAATTAATCAGTCAGCTTTAAACTTGACACATGTACAAATTAAACAGTGTATGGTGATTTTAAACACTATTTACAAATTTTTAAACAAAGATTTGATATTAAACGAATGTGAAAGAAATAAGTGCCAAATACACAAGATTAAATCATACCTGGATTACAGTGTAATAGGTTTCAAAATATTATTTCAAACTTCCAAATGTCAAAGGTTCTCTTACGTGCCTCATTTTTTCATGCTATCCGGAGGAGTACTCACCTAGCCACATCTAGTTACAAGTAACATAATAATTACCTCTTCTGATTTCCGCTTTTAAACTTCCTTCAACTTTTTCCAAATGGCCATACGATGGCGCCACAGTCAACAAAAATTCTAGTTCACCGTCGTCAGTATCTAGATCAGTAACTTCAAAAACTTGTAAGACTGGAGTAGTTCCCCCTTGTGATACAGCCATGTCTGGATTGGGTATGCTGAATCGCGGTGGATTGTTGTTCACCGGGAGAACTTGTATCATAAATCGTTCTTCTGGTTGTCGACGATTTTTTCCGCCATCAGAGACTGAAATAGGAATGAGGTATAAAGTCACGTCAACAGAATATTTTGGTCAGGAGACAAACATATGGGTCATTTTTGTTTCTATGGTTACAACGCAAAGGTTTTACTTACCTTTCATTCCAAACCGTGTTGACCTTCATTTGCATTGTCAGTCCAGCATTGCAAGGGGCTATATATGTGACACAAACTAGGCCATTTTGGGTGTTATGGGGTTAGAGTTCCTACGGACTTCTGGAGTTTTTGACCAGATTCTGATCTTCATTTCCTCATGATCTCGTAGCTCAGTGTCAAACGTTCTACAAATCGACTCCTGCATGTCATACTGGTCACACAATTTTTGGGAGAAAACCTGCCCTCCCAACAATCTAAATATTTAGCAATTTGAACCCAATGCTGCAAAATGTATTTCTTGTAATTGTGGAAATCAAAATTTCTCGTTGAAAAGAAAAAAAGTTTAAGAAAAAAAAAAATAAAACCCTTACTTCATGAATCAGCTGAAGAGGTTGTTTTACTTCTATTTACAACTTACCTACAAAACTAAAACTAACTTCTAGCTTCGAATTTCCGATCTCCATAACAGGTGGTCGATAAATAATGCGATTATTGTCGACATCATCCTGTGTAAAGCGAAGAACAGGTTTAAATGGAACTTCAATATGTTCAACCGTTCCCTCATCATCTCCTAATAAGGTCGTAATAGAGTAGATGATTTCTGTTGGTTTGGAATCGTCATCGTGGAAGGAAAGGTGAGCAGCCGTTATTGGAACCAACTGATTCTCTAAAACCTGAAATAACCAAAAACAATATTTTGCATTTTTTCGTATCAATAACTAATCTAAACCATAGGTTTTTTTTGTCCCATCCCAACAAATAGGCACTGTTCTTAACCTGGAACTATGTCCTGCACCACTGACATGGGCAAACCGGACTGGAGAATTCCAAGAGGAACAATCTCAGGCAAAATTAAAATGGTTGATCTTTCCTTAGATTTTACAAAATGAAATGAAATGGTGCTTAACGTCCTACCATTCTGCTCTAACTGGGCTACTGAAGACGGGCATATGCCATACAGTTGGCTATGAGGAAAATTTTGTTTGCCCGGACAGCGGTACTACAGCCTACTCTTATATCGAATTACAATTGCCAAGGGATCTTTTACGTGCACACCAATGTGTACACGAGGAGCTTGTTTTTGTCCCACCCGAACGACTATCTGTTGTTCTTGTAAGGTCCTCTCTCCTGCACCACTGACAAGGAGGAACCATGCTGAAAAATACTGATGACCGATCGAATATTGGGGGAAGGAGTGAGTACTGAGCCCCAACGCCAGGTCCTTTTTGCCGCTGCTTACCGTCATTCCTAGTCGAACACCTGGAGAAATAGTTGGGGCCGCCAATTCTTCATAAACATCATCCAGTACTGTTATCTTGAACATCAGGTCTTTTATGACATTTGGAGGCTTTGACATATCTGCTACCTATAGATAAAAACACGATAAAATATAAAACAACTATCAGAATTAATAACAATCAGAGGCCTGTTTCAGGAAATTTTAGTAATTTGATTGGATAATATTAGATTGATTTTAATGCTTAGCCAATCAAAATTAAAGTATCTACTAAAATTAGGATTTTATCTTTAGTTAAGATTTCGAGAAACAGGGCCCAGGGACCTTAGAACATCCAACCCTTTTATGTATTTAACTGTTTCTATATCTATATGCCAAGCGAAGTTAGCAAGGTGAGCCAGTCAGCACCTACTGCTCAAAATCCCAGAGGTCCTGATAAGGCTACATTAGTCACTAGATCCCTACTGGCATGACTGCGACTTTCCTCTCGTTCATCTGGGCTACAATTTTTATAGTTCGGCTTAATTGCTTAAGCTTAAGCAGATTATTGAAATAAAATTGAACCATTATGTTAGTTCCGAAATGACCTAATCTGTGTCGAGTGGATGTTTTACCCCATTTCTCTCTCGCGCCAACCCCTATCTAGTAGTACATAAACATTACGAAGTATGAAAATCATTTGCTTTGGCTACGTTTGGACAAATTTGTTGTCTACCTCAAAAGTGAAAACATCAGACTGTGAATTCTTGCCATCGTGCTTGTACCATATCCTTCCTTCGTTAACATCACGTTGTAAGAAACGATACATCCTGGCAGCCATTGTTCCATCACCAAGGTTACGCCATCCTCGTCCCGCACCTGTTACTGGTATTGGTACAACCATTAATATTTCTCCTAGAAAAACGTGAAACAAAGTTATCTTTTTGAAAACAATGAAATAAATAGGATTAACTTCCTACCCGACTGGTATCGTCCCATTCTACTCCACTAACCTCCGGGTCCATCCATCCTGGATACTTCTGCTATTTCTACTGACTAATCGAGTGGGCAAAGGGAAGTAACTTGCACCTTATTGTGGCTAAGACTGGTATGTAAACTGTTATTTGATTGGCTTATAGAAAGAATCAAGCTACGATCAAGGGTAGATAATCTGAATTCGTGAAAACTGCATGGATGGACCCAGAGGTTAGTGGAGTTGAATGGAACGATACAACTGGGGATACCAAGAATGACCAAGCTAATACAGTTTGCTACGAGGGAAATTGCTTACTGGTTTATGAGATCATCAATTCAATAGGTAGATAGTTGGACCTTGCTAAGTTGCTAAGTGGGTAAGACATTGGCTTGCTAGCCTGGAGGTCCCATGTTCAATCCCTGCATTGGCTCGCTAGCCTGGGGGTCGGGTGTTCCATCCCTGCATTGGCCGAGAAAGTTCATCAGGATTTTCCGGAGTGGTTTCCCCTTGTCAGTGGTGCAGGACGGAGGACCTGGCAAAGGACAACGTATAGTCGTTCGGATCTGACAAAAAACCAAAGTCCTGTGTACATATTGGCGTGCACGTAAAACATCCCTTGGCAGTTGACTAGATCTGCAGTTGACCTTAATTTCTAGACCTAACAACCCATATATATGTTTCTGGATAGGATATTTTTGTTATTTAGTATGAATCAACCAAGCTTACCGTGTATTGGATTACTGGTAGAAGGCACCAGCGTATAGATGATATCATTAGATCCAGCATTCTCGATATCCATTGCTCGAATCTTCAACATGTCTGACGTGATCTGAAGGCTGTCCCCTCGTACAACATGGCCTCCAGCATTGTTAATAATAACAGGCTCTTTACTGTCCTAGAAAAAGAATTGAAAAAAAAATGTCATCCAGTTTCCTACCATAGCTAAAGTGAGAGAGAGAAAGAGAAATGGGGTTTAACTCCACTCGACACAAACTAGGTCATTTCGGGACAAACATATTGTTTAATTTTATTTCAATAATTCGCTTGCGCATTGGGGGCTTTAGCAGTGGGAAGAAACCGGTGGACCCAGAGAAAACACACAAGGTTGGACAGGCGACCCTATTTCTTGTCACATACAACAGGGTTTTTGAAACCACGTCAGTTAACTTAATGATAGGCCTTATGATACAGCCCGCATGTGCTAACCATTCGACCATCCAACCCCCCTCCCTCACAGATAAAGACCCCTACATGTAAACGAATTCCTATAATATAGACATGCCCTATTTTAGTTCCAAAATGGATTTTTAATATAGACATACAGGCCAATTTTGCCTGCAAAATATGGCAGCAGTGCCCAAAAAATGAACCTACATAACTTTACCACAAAATACCCATAGTAAAATCTCGAAAAATAACTGCAATTATCTAACGGGACGTATTTTCTCGAATTGCAGTTTGAGTTTAAGAACTAGACACCCTGAATCAAAATCAAAATTTTCTGAAACTCTGAACTCAATTGTCAGTTAAAGTCCCGGATTACGGGCACTTCATTTTATTTTCATATCCACTAAATTTTATTTTTTTTATATCATTTGCTCAGTGCCCGAAAAATTTGATGATCACCCCAAAAAAATTGTTTTGCGTCCCCCAGTGCCCTGGCTCGTACGTCCATCCATGAAATGATGACCTAATTGCTTGAACTTTCTCTTTTGATTTAATTCATATTTATCACCTAGAAATTCTAGCATTGAAACCACATGATATTTTCCATTTGACACAGAGTCAAATAAACTCAAGAGTTTTACTTCAATATTTCGCTTGCGTGTAGGATATTTAGCAGTGGGGAGGAAACTGGAGTACCCAGAGAAAACCCATGAGGTTGGACAGGTGACCCTACTCTTGTCAAGTACAACCGAAGAATCGACACCACGCCAGTTGACTTAATGACAGACCTTCTGATGCAACAAGCACGCGCTAACCATTCAGCCATCCAACCCTCTTCCACAATGAAATTATTATTATTATTATTACCTTGGGTCGTATATTTATTTCTGTAATTATATTCAATGGTAGTTGTCCGTCTGTCACTTGTAAAATCATCATATCAGATCCCACGCTTGTATTGGCTGAATTATCATAAGCCACGCCTCCAATATACAAATCTTCCATAGTAAAACTTCTGATTGGTTGCCTAGTTTGTGAATTGACAAGTTGACCTGATAATGGACCTGAGGATAGAAAACATGAGATGAAAATCATCAATCATAGCCGAGTCGGATATATGTCCCTCTAGGAACGGCAATGATGTCTTCCCTAGAAACATTGGCCTCTACGTCAAGGAGGCTGAAGGGCATACCTTCTAAGTAGTCCCCCATGATGTCTGTATCCCAAGCAGGCTGTTGTTATACCTTCTAAGAAGCCCCCTATTGTGTCTGTATCCAAGCCTCTTTAGCCGAGGAGACGGTGAGTATGCCTTCTAAGAAGCCCCCATGATGTCTGTATCCCGGCCTCTAAGCCGAGCTGGCTACCCTTCCCTCCAGCAATGTTAATGATGTCTAAAGCAAATTTGATGGTGCTATTTAATTTATATCAAACGTTTAGATTTGTGGGCTATTAGGGCGGGGCAATTACCATTTTTGGGTAACTGTTTCATTATAGCACCCGTTTCCATCAACACTGTTTATTTAATTGGACTAATCTATGCACGAGATGACTGGACACCAATAACCTACTTCTAGAAATTGGTGGCAGGAACTGTCAGTGAGTTAGTCTAAGAAAGTTGACTCTTGCAAAATACCTACTTAGCCCATTTCTTGTAGTCCCTCATTTGTATAATCACTTCAATATATTAAACAGAACACCTTTTATAGAACTAAAATAACCCCTATATAGTTTTACAATACAGTGTGATTCGTTATTATTATCATTGGTCAATAATCTTGAATTAATCTTTTAAGATTGTTTATATAGACGGAAAATTCACCTTGAATAACCTGTAGAGTTACTGTTCTTGGATCAGCGTCTGATTGTATATCTAGTGTTTCCGTGGTGATGATGGTCTGTCCACTACTAGCCGCTAGTAAGGGTTTATTTACAGACACACTTACTGGTTGAGATGAGATAACGTGGATCGGAAGACGAAGTTCATTACTGTAAAACTGTCCATCCATGGCTCGTAGGACTACCTCATCTGAAAACAGATCAAATTATATTTATATATTTCAAATTATGCCTATTCAACAAGGAATCAAGGTGGCTCAGTGGGTAAGGCACTGGGTTCGGCCCCAGTGTTTGTCGAGGAAGTCCTTAAGGATTTTCCAGTCTGGTTTCTCTTGTCGGTGTTTCAAGATGGGTGGCTTAGCAAAGGAAAGATGTCTAGTTTCTCACATGGGACAAAAAACAAAGCCACTTATTCACTCACTGGCGTGCATGCACAAGAATCCTTGAGTAGAATAGGTGGAAATTTTGCTGTATGTCATGTGATAAGATAGAATAACGCAGCTTAAAGTTGCAATTTCATATTTTTAAGTTATATTTTTAAAATTTATTAAAATAAAGCCTTAAAATAGATGGTATCCATAAACCGTCCTACCTTGTTAAAGAATAATCCTATTAATCCTATAAGTCACTATTGCCAGCTGAGAAATTGGCAAAAATATCATTTTCAAAGTCAAATTCCAACGTTTGAAGGTAGCTAATGCATGGAGGCAATAGGAAAACAAGGGAGGTAATTGTGTTATTATTTCCTGTGTCAATGATTTTTAAGGGTGGGAAATAATGCCCATGGTCGTATAATAGTGAGTTGATAACCTATTAAGCAAAAGACATAGAAATAATTATGTTTCGATTTTCTTAGAAAATATAAAATTATCGCTTTAAAGTTAGATCATTATAACTTGATGATAAAACCAATGTTTACCTTTTAGAACATCCAATGACTGCCTTCGGACAAAACGTATCTTTCCGTTTATAACATCGCTCCACGTAAAATATTCATTTCTCTTTAAAACTCTATCAACACCATCAACTACCTTGACAACATCACCACTAGAGGGCGTTAGCTGTAGGTATATTTTTAACTCAGACGTTTCTGTATCTGGATCAACAAGGTACAGCAGACTGGGTGTAAGCGTAGTTACACCTTTCTCCGTTACACTGATGTGTCCAAGGGCTTGAAAACTAGGAGGATTGTCATTGGCTGAAAAAAGAGAGGATGGTTCCGATAACGCCATTTTGATTGCATGTTTAGTATTTTTCCTTTCAGGGTCAATTCTTAATTCAAGTTGAAGATCTTCACAGAGAGAGAGAGAGAAATGGGGTTTAACGTCCACTCGATACAAACTAGGTCATTTTGGGACTAACACAGGGTTCAATTTTATTTCCATAATTCGCATGCACGTAGGGGTATTTAGCAGTGGGAGGAAACAGACTTTATGATACATCGCGCGCACGCTAACCATTCAGCCATCCAACCCCCCAGGTCCTTGATAAATAAACAGACATTCAAGTCTTGTTTAAAATTATTTTTGCTTAATATTAATTTTGAATCAGGATTTTTTCTGAAGAAATAGGAAGAAAATTATTATGATAATCAAATTTTTCAATTAATAATTATTTTTTCATAAGGCCACACAAATTTAAACTTTTTTTATTCAAAAACACCTGTTTAAGTTTTGATTCCTTTTTCTTTGAGGGAAACGAAATAATTTAAAAACAAAAATGGTTGGATGCTCTTCTCAAATTCTTAGTTTTAAATTTTGAAATTTTAACAAACTGTTTTCGCCAATCATTGTGAAATCATGGTTATTTACCATAACCTGATATAGTAATTGGAACATAATCAAGTAAAACACTATTTATGGATAACAATTACTATGGTTTATGGAATAACATTTAGTATGGTTTATGGAATAACAATTAATATGGTTTATTCTACTGTGAGGTTTCAGCAAGATTTCACAAGTCATTATCAAGCATATATCAACATAAATAAATATGTTTAATAATTACGACTTGTGAAATTTTGTTGAAATGACACAGTGAAATAACACATACTAATTGTTATTCCATAAATAGTGTTAAATAAACCATAGTAATTGTTATTGTTACTAAAATGGGAGCCATCTTTGTGGCTCAAAACTAGAAAAAATTTTCCGACAAACCTGTGCATGTTCTCTTGTCTCTGTTGGTTAAAAACTGTGGTCCACAATTCGATACACAAATCCCGTTCTTCAGATATGATCGACTGTCACAACGTAAACAAACATCACTTGACGTACAACTCAAACAATTAGTAGAACATTCTAAAATAAAGAAACAGAATGAACTGTAACCTCAACACAATTGTTTAATCAGATTGTCGGTGGCAGACGTAGACTTGTTGAGAACCCTGATGTGGCCCTCTCGAACCCAAAACAAAATGGTGAGAGGTGGGGTTTAATGTCCACTCAACATAAACCAGGTAATATTGGAAATGAAATGAAATGAAATGAAATGGGGTTTAACGTCCTACTGTTCTGCTCCTAAACTGGGCTAATGAAGACGGGCATATGCCATACAGTGTGCTATGAGGGAAATTTTGCCCGGGCAGCGGCGCTACGGCCTACTCTTATATCGAATTCCAACTGCCAAGGGATATTTTACGTGCACGCCAATATGTACACGGGACCTCGGTTTTTCGTCCCATCCGAACGACTTAACAGCTGTCCTTGTCAGGCCCTCCGTCCTGCATCACTGACAAGGGGAAACGACGCCGGAAAATCTGGATGAACCTACTCGGCCAATGCAGTGTAATATTGGGACTAGGAGTTTTTGCCAATGGGAGGAAACCGGAGGTAGGACAGGTGATCCTTCTCCTTGTCACGCATAACCTTGGGATATATATCGAAACTTCACCTTTTTCATTTTAGTGATCAACAAGGGTATCTATTGCGTGGACCAGGGTGTTGACTTCAAAATTTTCACTGTAGGTTATTTTTGATAACGCAGAGAAAATTTGCGTGGACTACCAAAATAGCACAAAATACCACATTTTTCTTTTCGATCTAAATGACACACTTTCAGTATCAATCATACACCCACCCACCCGAGACCCCACAAAATAAAAAACTGAAGAGATTTTACCTTGGCAACGACCTTGATAACTTGGATACATCCTCACTCCACAATCTTGTACACATTGACCTTGATAAACTTGATACGGTGAGTAACATTTGGTACAATCAGCAACTTCATTACAATTCTCACACATTGAATCACAACCTGAACAAATATAAAATAAAAGTAGACAAATATTTGATTGGTGTAGACAAAAATTGATGGGTGTCCTAAGTTAAAGATACATTATGGGAGATTAGATAACGAGCTGGCAGTTCTCACTATAATAGTTAAAAAAAACATAGATAATGTAAAGGGAATTTTTGAAAATTTCAGTCAAATTGATCCACTATGAACCGAGATTTTAGTGATTGAATTTTCGGCCTAGCATCGATCATCATTACTAAAGTCAGTAGGATAAAAAACATAGTCTTGATTATCCATTTCATGATTTAATTATGAATGGAAGTCGAACAGCAAATCAGAACCTAATCCAATAAACATCGCAGGCTAGCGATGCCATCGAGAGTTGATTATGATCTGGATAAGTTAATTAATGTCTAATTAATAGTTTATATAACATTTCAGGCCTAAAGAAAGACCTGCAATAGGCAGATTTAGCTCTTGCATAATGTATGTTTAAAGTTACTGACACATTTCCATTGTCTCAGAAATCAGGGTAGCATAATACCAGGACTTGGGTATCATGTAGTTGTAAATGCAACACTCATTATCACATCAAGATGGACCATCTCAAACTACGCAAACTAAATATTTTTTGATTCTCAGCGAATTTTAACGATTTGCCAACAATGGTTTGAAACTAAACATTAAATACAGAAACTTCTCCCATGCCCACATCCAGTATATGGCTTGTCAAGCACAGTGTCCACATCTGACTACCAATATTTCAACTACCTCCTGACAGATTGACGTTACTGAAAATATTATTGCTACACAATTATTATGTCGTATCAGGTACATATTATTTTACTAATTACATAAAATAAGTCAGCCATACTTTTGCTCTAAAATTAATTATTTCTGTAGTTTTGTAATCGGAGTCCAGCTTTAAAGAGAGAGAGAGAAATGGGGTTTAACGTCCACTTGACACAAACTAGGCCATTTCGGGACTAACATATGGTTTAATGTCATTTCAATAATTTGCTTGCACGTAGGGGTCTTTAGCAGGAAACTGGAGGACCCAGAGGCGACCCTATACTCCTTGTCACGTACAACCGGGGATTCGAAACCACGCCAGTTGATCATGACTCAATGACAGATCTTATGATACAGCGCACACGTGCTAACCATTCGACCATCCAACCCCCTGGAGTCCAGCTTTAAACAGCACAACTAAATGTAGTGATATCTTTCATGAATAATAATAGGTGTTATGATTGTTGTTTTGACTGACTGGTGCATATATCGCCTTGTTTATAAAAGCCTGGAAGACAATTCTTGTGACAGGAACTACCAGATGGAATGTGTGCTCGATCTTGACATTGAGTACAGATTGATTCGCTGCCATCATGATTTGGTTCACAGACAGAACAACCTTCCAAACAATCTAAATAACATAAAAAAACATATTTTGAGCAACATTTTGAGCAACATTTTGCCTAAAATGCCACATAACAACCCTTGGCCTTCCAATGCATTTCTGTACCTTGAGTAGTAAACATAGTTCATTATCATTAAATGCTAGCCTACATTAGAAAAATATCTCCAGATATATTGATAAAATGAAACGAGAGAGAGAGAGAGAGAGAGAGAGAGAAATGAGGTTTAATGTCCACTAGAGAGAGAGAGGGTTTAACATCAACTGGACACAAAATAGGTCATTTTGGGACTAACATATGGTTCAATTTTATTTCAATACTTCATGTCCGAAAAGGGGTCTTTAGCTTTCGGAGAAAACTTGAGGACCCGGAGAAAACCCACGAGGTTGAACAGGCGACCCTACTCCTTGTCACATACAACCGGGGATTCGACACCACACCAATTGACTCAATGACAGATCTTATGCAACGTGCATGCAAAATGAAACAACAGAGTAACGTACCATGCAGTGTATGCTATGATGGAAAATTAGAACGAACAGCAACCATTTTAGACTAGTCTTTATCACATTCCCCATGTCAATGGGGGGTTGGATGGCCGAATGGTTCGCACGTGCGTGCTGTATCATGAGGGCTGTCATTCACTCAACTGGCTTGGTTTCAAATCCCCGGTTGTACGCGATGTCAATGGGTACACAGGATCTCGGGCTTTCTATCTGAATGACAAGACACTGCTCCTCGCCAGGCCCTCCACGCTTACAAATCTCCAATCTGATTATAATACAGATCTTTATTTCGTTTCGTTTTTTTTATACTTTCGATGGCCTACACTACATGAAGATCTGACAAGTTATAGCGATAGGTCACGTCAGGGGTCAAAAGATCAACTTTTGACCTATGACGTCAGACATTTGATTAACCAATCAGCATTGATGTTACTAGTGGATTACCCACAGTTCCGGCCCACACTCGATTCGACAGACCATTTGATTGGCTGACCCCTCATTTCAAGCAGAACACAAGTTAAATAACAAGTCTTCCAGATCCTAGTGTAGTAAAGACAAGTAAAATGAAATTTTGAACTATAAAAACGAAACGAAATAGGATCTGTGTTTTAACCAGATTGACAAATTTCTGTCTCGGCCAACACCAGGATCAAACCCCACCGAGCCACTACGGCTGTTAACAAGACCAGTTAAAACCTTCAAAAGTCCTACTTACTTTCACAGCTACGTGTTTGTGATTTGTAGAACTTTCCTCGAGGACAGGGCGATGATGAACACCGGCCATCTTGTGGAGATGCATTGTCATGGCAACTTGAGCAATCTGAATTCTTTGTTCCAGAACAACTTTTACATGATGGATGACAAACTATAATAGAGAAGTACAAGAAATATTGCAAAGACAGATTTACGATGATTATCAAGGACCAGGTCGGAGGCCTAGATGAATGGGGTTTTAAGATTGGTTCCCGCGTACAAACTGGGTGATTTAATGGTATATATGGACCAAAAACATATTCAAACTAATTAATTTGTCATAATTATGCTTCAAATCCTTCTCAAACATTGTAATTGCAAAGGAATGCCCTGTTATTAAACTTCGATCAAACCAGGTCATGTTTACGTCACGTCTTGGGAGTCAGAGGAGAATTCATTGCATACATAAGACGTTGTTGTCTTTAATCGCTTACTATTTATTACAAATATCGAATCCTAATTAAATTCTCGGATTATCCACTACCCGCGTCTTTTTCCGTCATTTTTATCTCAGAAAGTATTGTACGTCTAACTCTTCATAAAGTTTATCAACTTGTACATCAAGCGCTCAATCTTCGCTTGTGACCTTTGACATCACACGTGCAGAAGTTCCTAATCGTCAGGCTGTAGGTTTCCATTAGGCAACGTCATATAATTAGAAACCTACCTAGACAGCGACCATCTTGTGAAGGGAGATAACCTTCTGGACAATCTCTAGAGCACTGACCATCATGTAAGAAATAGGACTCAACACAAGAAGCACACATGGAACTGTCTGGTAAACAAGCTCTACAGCTTACTGGACAATCTGGAAGAAAAAAGCAACAAAAACGTATGAGTGTTGACAAATTTTAAATTTCGAAGCCGTTGACTGGAAAAAAAACTGCTAAAACACAAACGCTGAACAAGACCGAAGACCAAGACCGAAGACCGAATGTTATGATTTAAAACTAGTCTTATCAACACAGCCTCTGTTCTTCTTGGATTAGGGGATCCTTTACTGACTTATTCTGAAGTAGGATTTAACTTTCTACGTTCCAATGTTCGGCACCAACTGGACAAAGGAATACGACCATATGCCATACAGCGTGCTATGAGGGAAGTTCCTTGTAGAGATTTAACTCTTCACATTATTGTACTTTGCAAGGGAATTCCTCAACTCCTCAAATTTTAAATACCAACTTCCCTACCTCGACATTCCCTTTGTTTAACGTAATATCGTGGTCCACATGAATCCACACATCTCCCATGTAGTAAAACATGTCCTGGTGCGGTGCATGATAAACACTGATTGACCTTTGACCCCAAACAAGAACTACAACTCTTGTCACATCCTGAAAGTAGAAGCAAAAAAATATAGAAATGAAATGAAATGAAATGGGGTTTAACGTCCTACTGTTCAACTCCTTTACTGGGCTAATGAAGACGGGCATACGCCATACAGTGTGCTCTGAAGGAAATTTTGCCCGGGCAGCGGCACTATCGCCTACTCTTATATCAAATTCCAACTGCCAGGGGATCTTTTACGTGCATTCCAATATATACATGGGACCTCGGTTTTTCGTCTCATTCGACGGATTAGACAGCTGTCCTTGTCAGGCCCTCCATCCTGCATCACTGACAAGGGAAACCACGTCGGAAAATCTGGATGATCTTTCTCGGCCAATGCAGGGATCGAACGCCCGACCTCCAGGCTAGCGAGCCAGCGTCTTACCCACTTAGCCATGTGATCCCCAAATATATATAGAAAGAAATAATAATAATATAATGAATTTATAAAGCGCCTGCATTCCAGTAAAGATTTCTGCTCCGCGGCCCTATTACATTTTGTAAAAAAAAAAGGTAGACGCAGAATAAATAAAAATGAATTATACATATAATCACAGAAAATTTAAGAAATATGAAGTTATTAAAATGATAGTGCAAGCACTATATAAAAACTTAGCTTAAAAAGTTCAGTTATTAAAAGTTATCACAAGTTCCGATTTTAAATGTTTTAAAAGTCATCACAGACACAAATGGGATTTATCATCCACTCGACATAAACTCATGATTGTATCCCACCCACCCCCACTCCCCGAAATGGTGTCGTATCCCGCTCTGCCTGGTGTTGTAGGCCCTGTTCACGCCTCTGAAATCATGCTGGAAAATATTGAACAGGTTTTGTAGTCTAAACCAGGATTGAATTCATACTCAACAACTAGTCAGTGTTGCTTCCAACTTACCAAGACATTCTCTGTTCTGTAAGTAAAAACCAGTACCACACGATCGGACACATTCTCCATGTTGCCAATAGCGACCAGCTGGACATGACGTACAATGATATTTGGTACCATCACTACATGATTTACACGTTTCATCACAATCTGTCAAAAAAGAATCAACAATTAACCATTTACCTTTTTGGATTTTTCCTGCCTAAATGAGTGTTCAATTTTAAGTAGTCTTTTGAATCATTTTCAGAAAATTTAAGTCTAATTATCTCCAGTGGATCTGTTACGTCAATGAAATTGTTTCGACATCAAATAAAATCATCAAATTGTCAACATCAGTCAAACAAAAATGACATGAAATGTAATTTAATGTCGTACTATTCTGCACCGACTGGGCTATGAGTTAAATTTTGCTTGGACAGCAGCACTACAATCTACTGTTATTTCGCATTCCAACTGTCTAGGGTTCTTTTGCGCGCGCCAATGTGTAGATCATCCCATCTTAACGACTATACATTGCCCCTTGCCAGTCTCTTCGTCCAGCACAATGACAATCAGAAAATCTCAATGAACTTTCACATCCAACCACGCTGATTGAACAGAATCAGCGAGCCAACATCTCACCGCAGCTCCCACAGTCAAACAAGTAAAGAACTGTTGATCGATACCAAATTTCAGCAGCTGCATAGCTAGGAAGTGAGCAAAGAAAGCCGTCACACGAACTATGCCCCCATCCACAACCCGGCACATTTTTCAAAAGTGTCACATTTAAATCTTAGTTCACTTGTGTTATAAAACTCAAAAGTTTGGTATTGCAGAACTTTGGAAGAACTTTTTGGACTCTTAACTTTATACCGACCAAAATCCTTTTTTTTTGATTTCAATCACAAAATAAAAATGTATAATGAATTTAAATTTATTTGGGACATTTCATGGCACCCATATTCAGAACCTGGCCCCAAGTTCACAAAGCATTCTCAGACTTAAGTTAAGAATTTACTCAGAATTGTTTGCCTTATTTTAACTATAACATAGCCCTTTATAAAACTTTTGTTGTTTTAATGTATCAAATACATCAAAAAGAAACTATGTGCAAAGTTTTGTGTTTCTGGATCAAAGATATTTCTCATAAACAGTGATTGAAAGTTGAGTAAATTCTTTACATAAGTCTGAGAATGCTTTGTGAACTTGTGGCCTGGTCATACTCCTGAACTCAGGTATGTCAAACTACGCCTGTTACTGTGTACATGTTCTAAAATATAAACAAAGGAAGGGGACGTACCTTTACATAAATTATTTTCTGCTGGATAGAAACCTTCACTGCATTTATCTACACAGATTCCATTTTGTACGAGTTTGTTTCCAGCACGACAACGTAAACAATGATGAGCATCTGTGGGCAGACAACTCTCACATTCTTGACTACATATGGCTGAAAATAGATGTACAGAAAAGTCAAATTTATTTTGGACAACAGAAAAACGACCAACATAAGAAAAGAATTCAACACTTGTAATGTGTTCTTCTCAATGGTGGGGGGTTGGATGGCTGAATGGTTAGCACGTTCGCGCTATACCATAAAGTTTGTCATTGAGTCAACTGGCGTGGTTTCGATTCCCCGGTTGTACGTGACAAGGAGTATGGTCGCCTGTCCAACCTCATGGGTTTTCTAAGGGTCCTCCGGTTTCCCTTCCACTGCTAACATGCAAGCGAATTATTGAAAAAAATTAAACCATATGTTAGTCCCGAAATGACCTAGTTTGTTTAGAAACTTATCAACAAATGCTCAAGAGATCAAATACAGGAGCAGATTGCAGGAGCGGATCCAGGAATTTTAGCAGGAGGGGGTTTGCCAGGTACCTGAGACAATGTATTTATGTATTTTGGGGGGGGGGGGCTTGAATGTTTTTGAGAAATATATGGCCTCTATTATCATTTTTGCCTATATACATTCACATTACATTATGAATTAATACGCTGACATGGTGATTTAATTTCATTGATGCAAAGCATTAATTGTGATGTCACTTGTGCCTATATCATTATCTCACGCTTCGAATGCCCATCCCACCATCTGACGACAAAGGATAAAATACACGACCATTTTAACACCCCCCCCTCTCTGGATCTGCCCTTGTATTGCTATGGGAGATAATGTGTAGAGCTTTTTATAGTAGCTCAAAATAACCTGGGGGTTCTCGATTGTCAGTCTATAACGTCTCGAATTGACAGAATTGCAACCGAGTGACAGATAATTCAGTCCTGTCACAGTTCTGTACAAAGGAGGGTGGTGTGAGCAGAATCGTGACGTATTTAAACACAATGAATTTGTTTATGCTGTTGGTTGAGATAATTTCTTATGCAGACAGCGTATGTGTTGTAGTTCAAAATCCCCCTTTTCACTCGATTGTCACTATTTTGGGGATGATAAATTTCTAGAAATATTAATCATACCTTTTCTACATTCCCCACAGCACTGTCCCGGTGGTATATCAGCATAACTACCATCTGGACAAACAGGACATGATTGTTGGTAGCACACAACATCCAGACCTTCAGCTTGACAAGTACAAACAGTACACGGATCTGGGACCCATGTTTCACCAGGCTACAGAATAAAAAAACAATTTTAGAAGAATTTCCTAAGCAAGTAGCCTTAGAAGCTCAGGGCTATCAGGTGGTTATTTCCAATAAAAGTATGGCAAATTTGGTTGGTATATATGGAGAGTAAAGACGCCCAATCTTATTAGAAAAATACTGGATTACCCGAAAAATACCCATGGTGCAAGCACTGGGCAAAAGTGGGAGGGTATGTACTAGCTTGACTGAGGGAGCGGTTGTTATTTCTTGATCAAATTGTTAGGCAGTTCGGGAACATTGAGGGGTGTCAAAGTATAAAAGACTGCAATTAAACGTTGGAAAAAAAGATGACAGAAAATAATTAAAAATTTACTTAGGCCTCAATATGTATGATAAATGGACAGTAATTAATGAAAAATACATTCTAAAATATGGACCATCCCTCAATGAAGTTAGATGACAAACATGGCCTCTAACAAAAGTTTATTTATAGCTTGAGTTATCTCCCTGTGCATACAAAGTTTTGAAATGGATTTGAAGCAAATTTTTGATAGATTAATTAGTTTGGATATGTATTTAGTCCAAATATATCATCAAATCACACAGTTTGTATGTGGGAAAGTATGTTTAAGCTAACGTTAAAGTCGGTTCTCTCTATCGTGCATTTCCAGACAATAAATACATTTTTACAGATTAATCCATCCAAATATCAGTTGTAGATAATCAATTAGTCTGGATTTAATTGGATTATAAAAAGGCCAATCAATAGATTTTAAAAAACATTTTTTTACCATATAACGTAGACTATCAAATATACAGAGTTTAGGACGAACGCATCGAGGACAGCAAGAATCATGACCCTCTTCAATAACTTCATCCTTTAATTAAAAATAAAAACAAACATTCTCTTTCATATTCACATGGTCAACTAGTGTATGTGTTGGCGTGAACGTTAAAGAATCCTTGACAGTTGAAACACCATCGTCTGAGCAAAATTCATAGCACATATGACCACACTATATGTTAGTTTCATAGCACATACGAGTTCATGTCCCTGAAGCAGTGATGGCAAGTTTTACAACACCTATACGTTGCAACACTGCTTTGCAATTCCCGAACTTATAGCTATGTAATCTCCCTTTCAGGCATGTGAACAGTAGTGTCCAATCAAAGGGTTTTGACTCAAATCAAAAATGGAGTCCTTCTCAGAAACCTTGACAATGAACGAACCTAGAACTTTGCAACTCGATTATCACAGGTAGACATTGTAGCTGGAAAGCTAGAGACGTGGTATTCGTGATTATCGAGGAATCTGATAGGCTCTCAAGCTGGGCTTGTACTCAATCGAAATAAGTGCTGAAATATGCGGGGTATTACGTGAAGGCCTTGATAAGATGTACGTAGTTAAAGCAAGATGAAGCCTTATATTGAAAATAGATACGAGTCATACGATCACACCACATGTTAGTCTCAAAATAACCGAAGTAGGTGACTGTGTTGACCGGACATTAATTCATTTCATATGGTTTAGAAAAGTAAAGAAGATATTTTAACTTTAAATTGATTTTATTTTACAATGTAAACGAGAATTGAATGTGTCCGGTAAACTCTTTCATTTACTTTACAGATATATGACTATTTAGCAAAAGGAATTTAATTTTGTTAAAAAATTTCAAAACATAAAAATTTCAACTGAAAGTTTTTAAGACAAGCAGCAGAGTATTTGTTTTGCCTCCTGCAAACAAGAATCACGACAACTCGTCTTGGTGTGGCACAATGATAAGTTAAATACTTACCCCTTTACACGTAATATGTGGACATGTTGCTAGGTGACATTCACGTCGGCCATTTTTACACACACAGTACTCACATCGACTGATATTCCACACATCACCATGGTAACGCACAGGTATCTCACCAACACATTCACCTGTAATAGTAAATCAGGATATATCAATAGAGAGAGAGAAAGGAATGCGGTTTAACGTCCACTTGACACAAACTAGGTCATTTCGGGACTAACATATGGTTCAATTTTATTTCAATAAATTGAATGCGAGTAGGGGTCTTTAGAAATGGGAGGGAAACCAAAGGACCCGGAGAAAACCCACGAGGTTGGAGTTGGACAGGTGACCCTATTCCTTGTCACATACAACCGGGGAATCGCTACCATGCTAGTTGACTCATTGACAGACCTTATGATACAATGCGCACACGCTAACCATTCGGCCATCCAACCTCCCCCCGATATATCAATATGACTAGAACCAGCTCCATAAGAGTATTGCTGGACAAGGGGTAAATCTTTTAAGCCCTGAATGACTGGGGTTTAGTTTGTTTAGGTTTGTATAGCTGGGAAGTTTTTCTGGATAGACAAATGCCCTATTACGTGACCAACACAGACCCCTGTGAACTAACTAAACGTATTAAAAACACACACTCTCTCTTTTTTCCTACCCGTGTAGATGCATTCGTCTGCTTTTTAATTGTCACAGAAATTGGCAACTATTTTATTTAAAAACTGACCTTCTTTTGGTACACATTCTTCACAACATATCCCATCATTCCTTACTTTACGTTGCGTCTGTAAAACAAGTAAAATACACTGGGTGGGTGAAAGGCACATGGTTGGGTGAAAGACAGTGGGTGGGTGAAAGAGAATGGGTGGGTGGAAGAAAATGGGTGGGTGAAAGAGAATGGGTGAGTGGAAGAAAATGGGTTAGTGAAAGACACTGGGTGGGTGAAAGAGAATGGGTGGGTGGAAGAGAAAGGGTCGGTGAAAGACACTGGGTGGATGGAAGTCATTGGGTGGGTGGATGACACAGGGTGGGTGAAATACACTGGGTGGGTGAAAGACACAAGGTGGGTGAAAGACATTGGGTGGGTGGATGACACTGTGTGGGTGGAAGACACAGGGTGGGTGGAAGACATTGGGTGGGTGGATGACACTGTGTGGGTGGAAGACGCAGTGTGGGTGGAAGACATTGGGTGGGTGGATGACACTGTGTGGGTGGAAGACGCAAGATGGGTGGAAGACATTGGGTGGGTGGAAGAGAACTGGTGGGTGAAAGACAAAAGAGAATGGGATGGTGAAAAAGAATGGGTGAGTGGAAGACATGAAATGAAATGAAATGGGGTTTTAACGTCCTACTGCTCCGAACTGGGCTAATGAAGATGGGCATATGCCATACAGTATGCTATGAGGGAAATTTTGCACGGACAGTGGCACTACAGCCTACTCTTATATCGAATTCCAACTGTCAAGGGATCTTTTACGGGGACACTAATGTCCCATCAGAATGACTAGACACCTGTCCTTATCAGGCCCTCAGTCCTGCATCACTGACAAGGGGGAAACCACACCGGAATGAGTGGAAGACAGTGGGAGGGTGAAATACATGGGTAGGTGAAAGGCATGGGTGAGTGAAAGATAATGGGTTTGTGGGTGTGAACAGGTGGGTGAAAGAAAACAGGTGGGTGAATAACAGTGGGAGGGTGAAAGATAATAACATGCAGGTGGAAGATGTAAAACGGATTTTCTTTTTCTTTTCTCATCAAAGAAGCACTGGGTTAAATGACCTATAACAAACATCACATTTCATGGGTCTACATTTATCTAATCATCAGCTTTTTCATGCTGTTTGTAGAACTATACAAGTGTCATTTATGATTTTCAATAATAGGATTGTGTACATTACAATCCAAACCGGACTTTCATAACAATGTATATATTATTATAACAGATGACATACATCATAACTTGTCAATCAACCATGTCACTGTTAAACTCACCTCTTGACATGTCACGGTGTCACATTCCTCCTGTCGACATTCACCCATACCATTATTACACAAACAGTGAGTACAGTCATTCTCCTTGTATATTTCACCATTCTATAAAATATAGTTTTCAAAATAAAATCAAATGGAATTTAGTTAATATATCCAGACTGTATGTATATGTCCATACTGTTTGTATACATCAAGATTGTTTGTATACGCCCAGACTGTTTGTATACATCCAGACCATTTGTTTACATCTAGACTGTTTGTATACATCCAAACTATTTGTATACATCTAGACTGTTTGTTTACATCCAAACTATTTTTTTACATCTAGACTGTTTATATACATCCAGATTGTTTGTATATATCAGATCCAAACTGTTTGTATACATCCAGACTGTATACATCCAGACTGTATACATCCAAACTGTTTGCATACATTCAGACTGTTTGTATATATCCAGACTGTTTGTATACACCCAGACTGTTTGTATACATCCAAACTATTTGTATACATCCAAACTATTTGTATACATCCAAACTGTTTGTATACATCCAAACTGTTTGTATATATCCAGACTGTTTGTATATATATCCAGACTGTTTGTATACATCCAGACTGTTTGTATATATCCAGACTGTTTGTATATATCCAGACTGTTTGTATATATCCAGACTGTTTGTACATATCTAGACTGTTTGTACATATCTAGACTGTTTGTATACATCCAGACTGTTTGTTTACGTTGAGACTGTTTGTATACATCCAGACCGTTTGTATACATCCAGACTATTTTGTCCCAACTCAAATATACTGACTTGGTCATGAGGAATTATCTTTAGCTCACTTGGTAGAGGTGTATGGATTCCATGTCTGGGGTCACTACAAGGGGCATTCTGACACAATTACACAAGGCTTAATCCTTTTTAGACTATGCCATGTTGATGCCTAACAAGCCAAGGACAACTTTATTATATGCATATACCGGTATGAGCATTTACAAACCTTATATATTTTGTCTCCATGACGACAAGACTTTGCTTTACAGGAAGGACAGCATTCTTCTGGTAGTCTTGATGATTCTTGACCCTGAAATATATCATTTTAATTTATTTACTGATATCAACAGTTATATCATTTCTATAAACTCAACTTAGATGTAGGACATCCCTGCCACCGGCCTACAGATAACACTTCCCCTTGTTTCTAGGGGGGGGGGGGGGGCACAGTGACTCAGTGGGTGAGGTGCTCTCTCACTAAAATGGAGAGAGAGAAATGACATTTAACGTCCACTTGACACAAACTAGGTCATTTGGGGACTATCCCCAAAGGTTGGACAGACAACCCTACTCCTTGTCACAAGCCACTTGACTCAATGACAGATCTTGTGATTATACGTGCACGTGTAAACTATTTGGCCACCCAACACCCCTTCACTAAAATGGAGGTACGGGGTTCGATCCCTGTGTTGGCATGGTTTCAATTTGTCAGTGACGTAGTATATGGTAAGGAACAACGTCTGGTCGTTTAGATATGATGGAAATGAAAATGAAACGTCCTACTGTTCTGTTTCGACTGGGCTCATGAAGACGGGCAGTGTGCTATGAAGGAAATTTTGTCTGGACAGCGATGCTACGGCCTACTCTTATATCGAATTCCAACTGTCTAGGGATCTTTTATGTGCACACCAATGTGTACATGGAACCTCAGATTTTCATCCCATCTGAACGACTAGAGACAGCTGCACCACTGACAAGAGAAAACCATGCGGGAAAATCCTGATGAACTTTCTCGGGCCAACACTGAGAGCGAACCCGCAACCTGGCTAGCGAGCCAGCGTCTTACTCACTGTGCAGAATTCTATGGAATACAAAAACTGTTTTTTACTTGATTAATATAGACTAGAGAGTCCTAGTCAGAAATCCAACCTCGTGGGTTTTCTCCGGGTCTTCCGGTTTCCTCCCACTGCTAAAGACCCCTACGCACAAGCGAATTATTGAAATAAAATTAAACCATATGTTAGTCCCGAAATGACATAGTTTGTGTCTAGTGGACGTTAAACCCCATTTCTCTCTCTCTCTCTCCCTAGTCAGAAACGTCGCTTCGTAATAAGTAATAATTACATTCAAAAGATTTGTCACCTGTGTCGTAGATATCAAGATATCACACATCGATAATGTATGTTATTCACGTTTAAAAATAAACATATTTTGTCAAAAAATCCGTGAGAATGTAGCCATCTCTGATATTATATTAGGAGTATTGTTTAAAACCCAGAGAACAAACAGTTTTTTGACATGTGTTTTGTCAACTCAGCGTTTCTTTTGATGTAATTTCTATTCTCCAGCTGAGTTGTTCTTTTTCAAAAATAAAAATGTAAATAATTGAAGTCATTGACATCAGGTGTGTTGATCACATGGCAAATAAAACCAACCATGCATTACAAAAGGAAATTTTTTTTAGTATGTTTAGCGTCCTACTGTTCTACACTAACCAAGTTAATCAAGACAGGTGTACACCAAGCATTGTGCTAGCAACTGAATTCAAGAGAGACAGAGAGATAGAGAGAGAGAGAGAGAGAGGGAGGGAGAGAAATGAGGTTTAATGATCTTGACAAATTCAAACTAGTGCTGTTTTTAATTGTTTTTAACAAGAGAATTAAAGAGAAAACCAAGTTTGTTGTAGTTGGGGCGTATGTCGATATAGCCTTTCAACTTTTAGAGAGAGAGAAGAGAGGGGGGGGAGAGAGAGAGAGAGAGAGAGTGAGAGAGAGAGAGAGAGAGAGAGGGGGTTTAACGTCCATGCAAAACAAACTAGGTCATTTCAGGAATAACATATGGTTCAATTTTATTTCAATAATTCACTTGCATAGGGGTCTTTAGCAGTGGGAAGAAACCGGAGAACCCACGAGGTTGGACAGGCGACCCTACACATACAACCGGGGAGTCAAAACCACACCAGTTGACTCAATGACATAAGGTGCATGCACACACTAACCATTCGGCCATCCAACCCCCCTAACTGAATTCGAACTGTCAATAGGACACCAACGTGTACAAGTGAGATTAGTTTTATGTCCCATCCGAACAACTAGACATTGTTCCTTGCCATGCCCTCCATCCTGTACCACTGACAAAGGGAAGGTACTTCCATGTCCAACATCGTATGAAATCCTAATCACCATGTGAATTACAAAATAAAGGCAAGATAAAAGATTACAACATATTATTATGTCTTCAATTTTACTGGGGAGAATCTTGCTACGGCAGCTGTGTTTCAACTTCCGTGGGTTCCTCTGTGTACATATCAAAATGTACACCATGGCCTCACATTTTCGAGTTTTACCAGGTTTCAACTTCTCAGGTATTTCATTTTTCTCTGTTCATCCAGAATTTTATTTATGGCTGTGGAATTTCTTTTTCTCAAAACTTTGTTTCAAAAAATGATTTAACCAAACTTACTTCTGGACATATGAGAGGCGGACATTGTTGTGGTAGACATTTTGTTTCACCGTCCACACAGAGACAAGTCGTGCATGGTAACGGCTGCCATTTTGATCCAGATGGTTTCCGTTCTCCGTGATTTGTACAAGATCCTGAAAAATATTTCAAATTTTATTTGATATCCATTGTTACCATAAATAGAAAAAATTGGGATTCTTATTGCATTATTTTTACGCTGTGATGTTAACATCGTACAATGTCTTATCCAGGAGCCGACTGAGTTCTCTTCGCTTTTGTGGACAGTTCAGCTGTGGCCGGAAACTGCCGTTCATGACTGCAACTCACCGAAGCTCGATGGAAACCACAGTGTGTGTTTGGGGAGGGGGGGGCATCTTTTACCTGTTAGAGACAACCGAAGGACTCAGAGAAAACCCACAAGGTTTGACAGACGACTTTATTCTTTGTCACGTAACCATGCCATTTGACCTAATCACAGACCTTATGATCTAATGCACACGTTAAGTTAAACCATCCACCGCCCCCCCACCCACCCCCACCCTGATTTAATAGAAATACAGTCATTGCCTAAAATAACGAAATGAAAAATCTGTGCTTCGAAAATAAGAAAACCGTGCTCTTGACAAAAATGGTGTAGTGCTCTGAAAGATAGCCATGCCTCTTAATCTCTGGGGGGTTGGATGGCTGAATGGTTAGCGTGCGCGCGCTGTATCATAAAGTCTGTCATTGAGTCGACTGGCGTGGTTTCGAATCCCCGGTTGTACGTGACAAGGAGTAGGGTCGCCTGTCCAACCTCGTGGATTTTCTCCGGGTCCTCTGGTTTCCTCCCACTGCTAAAGACCCCTATGCGCAAGCGAATTATTAAAATAAAATTAAACCATATGTTAGTCCCGAAATGACCTAGTTTGTGTCGAGTGGACGTTAAACCCCATTTCTCTCTCTCTCTCTCTCTCTTAATCTCTAATGAGTGTTTCATCTTGTGGTGGTTATTTGCACAGGTCAGATTCACTGGCTCTCGCTACACTGCATCAGCTCGATATCTGATTTGACGATCATGCTGCGCACAGCTAGATAAACCCCTATGTAAACTGTGCCAGAATGGTCCACAAATGCTATTTTTTCAGCTCTGGATTTCCAAAATTTTGTGTAAGGAGGGGGGGCCTCCCTTTGCTATGGACAAAGAATCCATGCTAGAAGAATTTAACTTTATTTTAGGCCCTGGTCGTGAGAATACCCTTTATTGAAAAATTGCAGTTAATAAACCCAGTGAATGTTATCCATAAAGCTGTTTGCTTTCACTAAATGGTCTTTAAGAGAGAAAATTGGACTAAGAATAGGCCGGCTATCAACTGTTTGGAAATATCAAAACAGAATCAAAAATCTCATTAGGTTATCTCGGTTATTTTTTTCCTAATTTAATTACATCGCCCATCTCAAGTGGTATAGATAATACTGGGAACATGAAACGTAAACCCCTCTAGACTTTCTCATTACGACACACTGTTCTCTTTAATGTAAGACAAAAAGACAGTATGTTACCTGTCACTTGATGTC